GGAGGGGGATGTATGGGACAGGGGGGTGGGGAGGGGATGCAGGTGCCCATGGGGAAGTTTCCCATGGCCTGTTAGCTGCTGGTGGAGACTGGAGGGGAGGATGGGACCTCCAGGGATGACGGGGCACCTGGGGACGTGGGCACCCCTGGGACCCCCTGTGATGCAGGCACAGGGATGGGGGCAGCGGGAGCAGCCTATCCATCCCCATCCCCGGGGGGCACAGGCCAGGGGGAATACAGCCCATGGGGCCTCTGGGAGCTCACCATGGGACTCTGGGGACCCTGTGGGACCCCTGAGCAGAGAGGGCACCTCCAGACCGTGCCCCCCTCCAGGGGGTCCTGCCGTTGACCAGTGCTGGAGCACACAGAGAGGGGCTCCCATACCAGGGCTGCGGGGATGCTGCCCACAGGGGATGGTTTTCCCAGGCGAGGGCAGGAAGAGGGGGGACCCCCCCCCGTGTCCCCCCATCACCCGCCACCCGGCAGGTGGTAATCAGGGGAAGGAAGGAGCTGGAAAACGGCAGGAAAACTCCACAACCCCCCCCCGCCAGGAGATTGACAGGGGCTGTGTGGGGCTGGAGGGGGACCCCCCCGGCCCCTCCCAGCCCCCCAGCCCAGGCTCTGTGCTGCTGAGGGGGGGCTAATCCTGAACCCCAGGTCGGCCTCGTCCCCCCCGAGCGGCAGCCGCGCATATGGGCCCGGGAGTTAAAAATACAGGCGCTGTGCATGCATTAGCATCCCTAATGCACAGCGCTCCCCATTTAATATGCAAATTCCCGGCGCTGCTGCCGAACACCTTCTGTTCTGAGCGCATAAATTTGAATTTGCAATTAGAATAATCTTGTATAATTAATGAAAAGCGTCAATTTTAGCTCCTAAGTAATTTGATTAACATGTTGATAGGGCACTTATCTGGCTCTCTAAACCAGTGGGGCTGGGCGTCGGGCTGGGAAGCGGGGCTGGGGGGGGGGAGCTGAAGGGGGAGCGGGCGGTGGGCTGGGGACTTGCCTGGCCCCGGGTGACCCCCGAGGACCCTGGGGACGGAGCAGGACACGGGGGGCACGGGGGAAGCCCCCAGCTGCCCTCAGCACAAAAGAGGGAGGGGGCTGGGGATGCCACCAACCTGGGGATGTCACATCCTTGGGGCAGGGTCCCAAGGGAGAAGGGGGCTGAGGTGGGCTCAGGGGACACTTGCCCCGGGAGGGGGGGGAACAACCCCCACCCCACAAGAATCCAGGCCTGGGCTCAGCCCCAGCCACCAGCACAGGGAGGTCATGGGGCACCCTGGGACCCCCTGCACACCCCAAAAGCACCAGCATGGGGTGCAGCATCCAGGACACCTGTGGGACAAGGAGGCTGGAGGGACAGGGGGACATGGGGATGCCGTTGCCGGCAGGTTTGTCTTGGCTGGGCTGTGGTGGCTGCATCCCATGGCTGTACTGAGAGTTCCGGGGCCATGATCCCCACAGCTGGCTGGGGGAGGCGGGGGGGCAGCACAGCTGGCTGGCGCTGGCAGGACTGGGAGAGGCCAGGGGTAAGGGACCAGTGTCACACCGGGGGGCTGGGGACAGTGGGGGTGTGAGCAGGATCATGTGCCACCCCCTCACGCCCAGGGACCCAGGCATCCTGCTGCACCTCAGGGACAGGGGGAAGCCACTCATAGGGACACCCCAGGACTAAGGGACCCCAACTGCAGGCAGGGTGAGGCAAGGAGGGTGCAGAGCCCCCATCCTCCCCACCGTGTCCCCCCAGTCCCAGTGCTGAGATGACTGAGCCCTGCAGAACTAGTTGGGGCCCCTAAACCCCCCAGCACCACTGAAGAGCCTGGGCTTTGCTTGGCATCACCAGGGAGGTGCCACCATGCAGGGTGATGCATGGGAACAGAGGGACTGGGACATATCACGCTGGGTGGAGGGACAGAAGGACAGAGGGATAGACTTGTGGGGTCCAGGGATGCTGCAAGATGGAGAGAGGAACAGCTCAAGGGCTGGTGAAAGGGGTGGAGAAGGGAGGGAGAGAAGAAGGGAGGAAGGAATGGACAGGTGTGGGACAGGGAGGGAAGGGAGGGAGGGAGGGAGGGAGGGATGGATGGATGGATGGATGAATGGATGGATGGATGGATGGATGGAGGGAAGGACGGGTGTATGGAGGGAGGTGGGATGTGTGCTGTGCAGGAAGGGCAGAGGGTCAGGTCTGTAGACAGACACCCAACCCAGTGCCAGGACGACGTGGTGTCCATGCCCACACCAGAGAGCGTCGCCTGTGCTGGGTTGGGCTTTCTGCCCCCCATCAACACTGTGCCATGTGTCCCAGCCCAACAAGGAGGACGGGCGCATCCCTCCCCATGGGGCATGTGCCCAGCTCTTGTGGTGGGCACACGTCTGGGGACACCATGCAGCACCAGGGTGTCCCTGCGGCACATGGCCCCGGAGCGGGGCTGCCACGCGTTCCCCGTCGCTTGCCGAAGTGGCTGGATGTCGCCTGTATTATTTATTTGTTTGATGCGCGTCGGAAGTGCCGCGCTGACGGCAAACAGCGCTTTCCCCATCTGTCACGGCTGGCTGTCACCGCAGCCCGGCACGGGGCCCGGCAGCCACCGCGGCGTGCCGGACCGGGGGGCAACGCACACCCTCCTGGCCCCCACATGCCGCTGCTCCCCCAGCTCATTAGCACTAATGAGGCAATGCTTGCACCCACTCCCCAGCCCTGGGGACTCCTCACCCTGGCTCTCTGGGGGACCCCCTGCTGCTGCCCCCCTCCCTTGGCCCCAGTGAGGTGCAGGGGGGGCCCCCTCACCCGGGGTCCCCGGTACCTGTCGATGATGACGGGGTCAGAGGGGGTCTCGTTGCGGTTCCCACAGCTCTTCTTGTCGCAGCAGCGGCTGGGCACAGCCAGGGAGAGGAGCAGGCGTGAGGGGAGCCGGGCAGGGGCTGGATCCACCCCCACACCCTCCAACCCCCATGGGAAAACCCAACAGACCCCCATTCCCCACCCCTGTGCCCCCCAACCATCACCCAGACCTGTGCTGCAGAACAGGGGGGTCCTGCCCCACGGCGGGACAGGGTTGGGGGCAGAAGTGCAGAGGAGACAAGCAGGTGCCCCACAAGAGCCCAGGGTGCTGGGCTGGGGGGGGGAGCCCAGGAGAGGAACATCAGCTGTGTGATGCCAGGGCATGGGGGGTCATGGGAGAGAGGGCACCCCTGGGGTATCCCCCTTACCCACCCTGTGCTGCTGTCCCACACCATGTGGCTGGGCTCCAATTTGGGTCTTTCTGGGGCTCAGGGTGCACCCCAGTCCTGGGAAACACTTGGTAAGCCAAGGGGGGGTGGGGGGAGGCTCTGAACTAGAGGTGACCTGTCCCAGCACCATCCCTCGGGGGCTACACGTCACCCACGGGGGACACGGCAGGGCTGGCCTTGAGCCGCCACCGGCCAATAAACACGGCACCCCGGGGAGCACAGCGGGGAGGGGGGACCCCAGCCCTGGCATCGTTAGCACGGCTCCTGGAGATCAATTAGCTGCGCTGGCACGGAGCGCTAATTTGCACAAACACCGAGCGCGAGGGTGGTAAACAAGAGCGGCGCTAATGGGGCACGGGGGACCCCGCGCCGGCAGCAGGCAGTGGGGGGCAGGCAGTGCTTGCTGCCCGTCTGCCCAGCCTGGCATCCCTGGTGCTGCCAGACCCCCCCACACACACACCGGGACACCCACCGAGACCCCCACCAACCTGCACATGATCTCGTGGGTGAGGAGGACCCGGCACATCTCTGGGTTCTTGTCCTGCCCCTCGTAGATGATGGCCTGAGGAGGGGAGAAGAGAGCCCGCGGGGGGGTGCCACCGCCTCCCAGCATCCCTGCCCGTCCCCTGCCACCCCTCCAGCCTGTCCCCAACCTACAGACCCTCCCTGGGTGACCCCGGGCAGGGTGGAGGACCCCAATGGCAGCTGGGATAGGAGAAGGGCTAGACAAGGGGTGCTCGTGCCCGCCTGGCACTCTCATGTGTGTACATGCGTGTGCAGGTGGCTCGGGGGAGTCAGGGGATGATGGGGTTGGGGGCTGCAGGGCCAGGGATGTTAGTCCCCACCTTGGCCATCCCCCCATCGACCATCCCCCCCTCTGGCGTTACCTGCTTGGACATGGAGTCGATGAGGCGGACGTAGAGGTCCTGCTCAGTCCGGAGCCCTGCGGCGAGAGGAAAGGGGTCAGCCCTGCCCGCCCCCCCAGCCCCCCAGCCCCGGCACCCACCGTTGCTGTACAGCAGCTGGAGCCGGTAGTGGATCCCGTTGTTGGTTTTCTCGCCATTCTGCTCCTGGGGGAAAGGACAGGAGACATCACTGTCCCCTCCCCATGCAGCCCTCCACCAGCCCCAGCCTGGCCCAGGGCTGCCGAGCTGCTCCGGCAATTCCCCACGTGTGCAATGAGTTTGGGACAGGTCTCAGCCTCTGCAACACAGGCTCAAGTGCCCCTCCGAGAGCAGTGGGATGGCCAGGCAGAGCGCCACCATCCCCGCCACAACCCCATCCCCAACACAAGCTTGGCCCCGGGAGGGGGGGGTGTCTCACCCGCTCCTTCTCCACGAAGTCGATGAAGGAGGTGCGCTCGATCTCCACGGGCTGGCCCTGCCGGTCGTACATGGCCAGGACGAAGTGGAAGAAGTTGGATTTCCGCAGGTTGGAGGGGGGCTGCTTCTCAAAGTGGGCTCGTGCCAGGCCCACCCCGCTGCCAACAGGAGGAGGAGGTGGGAGTTAAGCACAGGTGGTTGCCAAGACCCCCAGCACCCCCTCCCCAGGGCCACCCCGACTGGGTGGGAGCTGCTGAACTCCCCCATGGCAGGTGGCGATGTCCCCTGGTACCCCAGGGTGCTGTGGACCAGGATGGAGGGAGCACCCCGGACACCCATCCTGCCCCGTGGCCAGGACATGCCCATGCCCAGGGTGTCCCTGCCACTCGCGGGGCTTGTCCCTGGGGGAAGCGAGGCCAAAGTCAGCTCCTGTCCCCAGGGAGGGGACGGTCCTTGAGGCAGCCCTGCTCCGTGGGGAGGGGAATCACCCCCAGGGCACTGCAGGGGCTCAGCCACTAGCCTCGCACCCCATCACAGGTGGGGACATCAGGGTGCACCTCCCTGAGCACGCATCAGCGGGCACACTCACAGAGACGTGCACCCACACATGTGCACAGGGTGGCTGGGGGAGCCCCAGCAGAGCCGGGGGTGGGTGGGTGTTCAGGGTGAGGGTCAAGAAACTGGGGGGAACACAGGGTAGGACATGCCAGCAGCATCCCAGGGGACACCAAACAGCTCTTCAACAGCGTCACCTGCCCCCAGCTCTGCCTACACCCTGGGACAGGAGCCCTCCGCAGCCGAGCCCAGGGCTGAGGCATCCTGCTGCCAGCCCGCAGAGCCACCTCTGGGCTTGCCCGTGGCACCGACTGCTCCGAGGGCCACCACCGCTGTCCCTGCACGGACGCTCATGGTGACGGGACAGAGACAGCACAGAGGAGGGTGGCAGAGCCATCCCCAGGGACAACGGCTCCAGCACCGGCCAGTCCTCATCCCAGTCACTCCATCCCCAGCCCCGAGCATGGTCCCTGTTGCTGACCAGTGTCACCGCTGGAGCTGTGATAGCCGGCACGGCGTCGGCGTGGGGGGCCGCGGGAGCTGGACCGGCCCCATTGTGGCCGCCAGCGAGGCGAGGGGGCCAAGATAAACAGGCGGATGTAAAAAGTTCCCCCCTTTCATGAATAAAAACACATTGGCCAACGAGTGTGTGTGTGGGGGGGTGTTTGGCTCCCTCCGCACAGACCTTGGAGGGGCTTAAGCTACCAGAGATAGTTCTGGTGTTGCACTGGGGACACTCCCTGCACCCCATGGTGAACCCCACAGACCTCGCAGATCCATCTCCCCCCGCCTCAGCGTGTGGCAGGACCCCATGGACATTCCAGCCCCCCCAGCTTTGGAGCAGGACGATGAAGCTCCTCAGATCCTGCCATGCCCTGCAGACCCCACTTCTCTAGGGGCAGCCAGGGCCCAGGCAGGGGTCAGCACTGGGGTGCAAATGCCGGGAGGACACACAAACATGCAGGGGGGTACCCCACTGAGGGTCTCTGCCTGCCCCTGCTCCTGGAAGCCCACCCAGGGACACAATTTGGGGGGTGATGGGCTGGGGCCAGGTGTGACCCATTGATTGCTGGCTCGAGGTGGTGCCCACTGCAGGGTCCCTCTGCCACAACCCCAGCCATGACTGTCACCTGATGGGTGGCCCTGGAATGGGGTGTGGGGGGGGTGGTGGTGTCACACCCAGCCCCTTTCCCACAGTACACTGCTGGGGGACTGTCAAGAGATGAGCCCTGGGGTGCAGGGACACAGTGCATGGGTCAGAAGCAGGAACCCCAGCACCCTGACCCTCACCTGGGACCCAATCTGGCTGGGACACGGCTCATGGGTGGGGGCTAGGGTGGGGACACCCCTGCTGGAGTGGCTGTGGGGTGCTTTGCTTTCCCCCACCTCACTCTTCTCAGAGATGCTCCCACAGGCTGGCGCTGCCCAGGGCTGACCCCTGCACCCAGGGGCATTGCTGGCTGCATGGGGACCTGGGGGACACAGGGACACAGGGACACAGAGACACCTCCCAGGGTCCTACACAAGTCACAGCAACCAGCATCTCGTCCAAAAAAAGGAAAAAAAAAATGGGGTTCAGCCCTTTTACCAGCGTCCTGCTCATTCGGCCGGTCTCAGCAGCAGCCAGGAGCCTCGGGCAGAGCCAGCACCGGGTGGGGAGAGACCCCCAGGCACCCTCACCTCCTTTAACGATGCTCCTAGGGGTTTAATTACCCCCTGGCATTGCCCTCAGCCCCAGCCCCTCCCCCAGCTGTGGGCACCAACCAAGGCCAAGTGTGAAGCCCAGACCCTGAAAACCTTGGGGACACTTCTCTGGGGACAACTCTTTGTGATGGAGGAAAAAGCTCGTTAAGCTAATCACTGGGAAGCCGAAAAGTCCCCAGTCGGCAAACACCAGTGTACACTCCTGGCGGGCTTGCCTGGCACACGTGTGCCTGTGTGCATGGCCAACATGTGTGTCCAGGCACACGTGTGCAGACAGACGTGTGCACACTCGTGTCCCTGGGCACTGCTGATGGTCGTGTCCTGACACACCCCACGGGTGGCCCTTGTCCCCTACCCAAGAGCTCCAACTGGTGCCGATGGCTTTGCTCTTGGGGGCAGTCCCCAGAGCATCCAGCCCTGCAGCATGGGGTGCTGACCCCACCAGGACCCCAAATCCTCACCAAAACCCCCATCCCCCTGTACCCAGCCAACACTCCACCCAGCTCCCTGAGGGACGGGGACCCCCGGTGTCACGGCCACCTCTCTGCCCCCCAGCAGCATCCCTGGCCCTGCCACACTGGAACCCAGCCACGGGGCTCCCAGCTGACGGGAAGGTGGCACGGTGCCGGCAGGGCGGCTGCAGCAAGCCAGCACCCACCTGCCCCCCCGCATTCCCCTCTGCCCCCCCAAACCTTCAGCCCTAGAGTGCTCAGGGAGGGGGGGCGATGGAGCCGCCAGCCCAGCCGTTTTAATGGCTGCATCTCTGCTCCCAGCGCTGCCGAGACCCCAGCGCTCCGAGAGCCGAGCCCGGCTGCCATTAATTATTAAAGGCAATCAGAGCATTTCCTAGCAGAGGAGCCCAGCGAATGTCTCTTACAGTAAAGCAGCATCTTCCTTTGGCGGAGCCGCCAGGCACCCGGGGCACCGTGCAATTACGCAGTCACGGCTCCCCGAGCGGCTCTGCCAAACGGGGGGCACAGGGGGGGTTCCCGGACCTGACCCTGCCTGGGAAGCTGAGACCCCATGTGGGCTCAGCCCGTGGCCCCTAGCCCCTCTGCCTTGCCCCGGGACCCCAGCACCCCTGCCCTCCCCAGGGCACGCTGTGGGTGATGGCTGGCATCACCACAGGGTCCCACAGGAGTGGGGTGGGGGGTCTTTGTGGGTGCTGGTGTTAGCAGGGTGGTGGTACAAGCCCCTCCCAGCCGGGGGTCCGAGCGGGGTGCGGGAGGCAGGCTGGGTTTGGAGGTGATGAGCCCCCCTTGGGGTGTTAGCAGGGTGGTGGTACAAGCCCCTCCCAGCCGGGGGTCCGAGCGGGGTGCGGGAGGCAGGCTGGGTTTGGAGGTGATGAGCCCCCCTTGTGGACTCATGTCCACACACATGTCACTGCTGGCACGTGTGGCACGTGCCCCTGGGATGGGGAGCAGAGGGGGGCCTGGGGGACACAGCAGGTTGCAGGGGGTCTGTGAGCCCCATCCTGGCACACCGGGCGCATAGCACGCAGGACGCCGTTGGCACACAGAGAGACACGGGCAGACATGTCCCTGCCGCTGGGCAGGATGGCTGTGGGAGCCCCTGCAGCCGTCCCAGCCCTGTGCCTGTGTCCCCTGCCTCCTCCCTCCCCACAGTGCTGCCGGAGCTGGGGACGGGGACGTCACCCCCTTTTCTCGCAGGACGCTCCGGGACATGGGGAAGTTTCTGGGTGCGCAGCAGGAAGGCCAGCACCCCCCTGCACCCCAGCTCGGACACTGCCCCCCTCCCCAGGTCCCTGGAGCCAGGTGACAGCGGC